CAAATCAGTTACAACTCCCTAATGGTCAATGAAAAGCTAAGAAAGACGATGGAGCAAAGATGGCAGATGAAACCACCTACAGGAGTTTAGTTGTAAGTTTTTTATATTTGACTGTAACATGACCAGACATCATGTTTGCTGCTAGTCTATTATAAAGATTCATGAACAGTCCGAATCAACTAAATTCACATTTGCAAAGAGAGTGCTCAAATATATTAAAGGTACAACAGATTATGGCTTATGGTATAGACCAGTAGAAAACTCAGTTGATTAGCTGCATAGATAGCAATTTGGCTAGATATGTTGATGACATGAAAAGTACATCAGGAAATGCTTTTTCACTTGGAACTAGTCTTTGTTTATGGTCATCAAAGAAGCGGAGTGTAGTGGCATTATCATCAGCTAAAGCTGAGTACGTAGCAGCAGCACATGCCGTCACACAAGTAGTCTAGTTAAAACAGATTCTAGAAGATATTAGTGAGAAGTAAGAAGAACCAACAACAATATTCAGTGACCGTAAGTCAGCAATTTCAATTAGTGAAAATCCAGTTAGTCATGACGCAACCAAACATTTTGCTATCAAGTATCATTAAATTTGGGAAGCTGTCGAGCACCAAGAGGTACAACTCAAATTTTGTAGGATGGATCTTCAGCTTGCTGATATCTTCACAGAAGTATTGATCAAAGAAAAGTTCATACACAATCGGAATCTGATCGACATGTCAAAGAAAAAAAATTAAAAGGGGGAGATTGTTAGAATTAATTTATTTTATTAAATTGTTAGTTACAGAAAAATTAAAATGAGTGGTTATGAAAAATTAAAACAAATAACAAAAAATTAAATAGTAAAAGTTAAATAGCAGAACTTAATAGTAATTAAATAAAATAAATGGACGGTTACCAATAGAAAAATTAATAAGTGGTTTTTTGCTGCCTATATATAGGCTATGTTTTTGTTTGTAACAACATCTTATTCAGATTGAATATAATATATTTTCTGTTTTCAATATATCTTTTTAATTATCTTAAATTTTATATTTTTGCATATGTAAAAACCTCTTATCTTCAATTTATTTCTAATAAAATTTCGATAAACATGAGCATCAACTTGTTCTTCTCCATCTTCAACACTAAAATTTTGATTAGTTACCATTGGAGTTTCCATCAAATTGTAATCTTACAACTTAAACTTATTAAGAAGATTCTTTGCATATTTTTATTGACAAATAAAAAATCTTAGATCACTTTGATGTGTTTGTAGTCTCAAAAAATAGTTCATCAAACTCAAATAAGTCATATCAAACT